TCAGTGAGAATGTCTTATGGAAGGATATTTATAATATTGGCAAGATTATTAAACAAAACTTTCCTCCTTTGGATGAAATAAAGGAATTCCTTTCTTGTAGCTCAGTTTTTAGACAAAAAGTAGAGCAATGTTGTAATGGATCACCATGGGACAATAACTAATGTGCCAGACATATCTCATAGAGGCAGACTTCCTCAGCAGGTGTTAACGTTTGAAGAGACTAACGAATCACTGACCAATGAGAGAAGGGGAGCTGAGTGCTGAGTATGGGATGTATGATGGATATATATATGGTATGATTGTTGTATTTGAGTTGTTGTTTGTTTTTGAGTAAAACATCTTTTTAAAACTAAAGACCACTCAGCGTTATCTTCTGTCGGTGATCCTTGACAAATGTACTGATCTTTCTGGTATCTTGCATCTTATTCAAAACAAGTTTATAGTGTAGACTGTAGTGGAAGAGATGAAAGTTGCAGAAGCTACAAGATATATTGAGACATATAGAACTGAGTTAAAAGAATTCTGCAAGCCACTCTTTGTTTGAAAGAAAGATTTCATCTTCAGTGTGAATTTTATTTTTGACTGGGAGCCTGAGGAACATGTACTGAAGAGGATACTAAAAATATACTGTCAAAAGTATCAGGTAAATACTCGTATAATAGAAATGTCCACTTCAATATCTGTGACTTGCTCCTTTCGTTTCTCTAATGTTGGGTTTGCTGTATTGAGAATAATAAAGAATATTCATATACTAATGGGACAAGGATTAAAGAAACTGACCATTGGTAACTTAACATTATGGAGGAGACAAGATGTTAGACAAAAGGTACACGTGTATTGAATAGTTGAATATTGTTTTATAATATTATGCAGTGTACATCTAGGAACTGAACAAAGACTTTTCTAGGAACATTAGAAGGTAGAGAGAACCTAATAAGTCTTAATAAGAACCCAGCTGTACATGCAAGGTGGTGAAAACAATTATAGGAATATTTTTACACTGTTACACTTGTTTTTAGTTGATCTATTTCTCTTTATGTTTGTTCTTTCTCATTTAATGAAATTAAGTCCTCATATTCCCATTGAGAGATGTCATTTATGATTTTGAGAATGATGTAATGTTTGATCTTGATGAAGTAAGTTTTATCTATTGTATATTTTCGAGATTTAATTTTTGTTAGCTTTGTGGTTATTTTTAATGTACAAAGTTTAACCCTTTTTACATATTTATAAAAGCCAAAACCTTGGCCAAAACAATACTTTTGAAGTACTGCAAGCACTGTAGCAGTTATAAGGGGGGCTGGTGGGCACAGGTGCTCTGTTTATTTTTTTCTAATGTGAATGCATCTCAAGCCTTCCTCTACTGATTCATATTATCCTTACATTTAGTCTCGGCATCTAACTATTGGAGAGATTGCTGGTGGGGATGAAGCTTATTATTATTTTAGGCTATTCTTAGAAACTCGTAAAGAAAATGAAACATTTAAGAAATACAGTTGTCAAGGTAGTACCATAACAATGTCTCTGATGAACTATGTACATTCAATGGTGTAGGCATTAACCTAAAAAAATCAGTAGTTGATTTGTCAACTGGTGAAGTTGGACCAGCTAAACTAATGAGAGGTGAAGGAGGTTGGACTGTTCAAGAATTAAAACAACATATAGGAGAAGTAAGAGGAAAGATATACTGTCATTTATAATGTTCTTATTCCCTCTCTCCATTGATCTGGTCCGTTTCTTTGTTTAGGTATTCAATATCAATTCATCATGTATGAGATTAGTAATGGATTACACGAGTAGTGATACTTCAGTCCGTGATATTAGTGATGTAGGAAGTACTTTAGGGAGATACTATATAGAGCTAGTCCATTCAAGAAGTACTTATTAATTTTTAGCAAACATAATTATATAACATACATGTACATGTATATCTGCCAATATTAATTCCTGACCAATATTTTGTCTCCTTTATATAGGCACAAACTCAGTTGCTGTGTATGTATCATCAAATCCTAAAGATTATCAAAAAGAATACAAATATAGTTTGATGTACAGATATGTTGATTTACATGTCAACTCAGTACGACTGAACATTACACTACCTCCTCAAACTGAAGCCACTCTCACTACAACTAATGTAACTGAAGGAGGAATGATGATTAAAATGATATTTTTAAATGAAGAAAATAAAGGAAAAGGAAGAAGTAATAAAACATTTGTATTTCAGTTTGTATGTCTTGAGTTAGGTAATGTGAAAGGCTTATAATATGCTTTGTAATGCAATGCATGCATGTAATTAACAGTACACACTGTACTCCATTCAACAATATAATTATGTACAAATTATATATGTGCTGTATGTAATATGTACCTGCTCACACCACAATTGTTATCACTCTCATACTTAATGTAATATATATATACATGTAGTATGCCTTTGGTCAGTGCATGTATATGTGTACTACATACAGTGCATATAGAACTTACTACAGTGTTTACAGTAACCTACATGTATACAGAGATACAGGTGCAAGTTGATAAGAGCTCAATTGAAGGAAGAGCTAGTTCCACTGATTGG